TTTTTATAAATATATTGGTTATTCCCTCTTCTTATTGGAACACATGTTGACTTGTGGTGCTTGGTTATTCCCTCTTCTTATATAGTAAAATATATTCCTCTTTATTAGTAAGTATAAGTATTATAATAAATTATATGTAACTATTAACTAATAATAATTAATAAAATTCTGGAAATTACAGCAATAAAGTGAAAATAACCTCCTAAATGTTTCTAATGTAATTTTAAGGGAAAAGGGTCTGAAAAATACTTTAACTTTGGCTGAAATTGTTGTTACGATACCAAACTTTATGGAGGACTTTTTACCCCTACACTATTTTATAGTGTATTTCAAAGGTATATATGTGTCTACGTGGACACATTATTATTTATAATTATGCAATGTTTATGATGTTCACGTGGGTATATATATACCTTTAAAATACACTATTAAATAGTGTAAGGGAGTAAAAGATCTTTTTCAAAGTTTGGTATCGTTACTATAATTTCAGTCAAAGTTCGAATATATTTCAGACCATTTTCCCTAATTTAATATTGCTTCCAACGTGATTTGTTTAGATATATTAATTAGACACGTAATTCAAGCGGGGGAAATGAAAGTAGTTATATATCATCATTCTTAATAAGAAAAGGTTTCTTCGGACATTTAGAGGATAGTACGTGTCCTGCTCTCCAAAAAATTTCATGAAATTCATCTTTCTCACACAGCTCCACTTGGAAATCTGGACCAAATTTTTACCCACCTCGCTTCTTCTTCGGTAAGTTCGTCTTCTTCCTCTTTCGTTTTTGTTTGCTTTGCTCTTTTCATTACTGATTTCTTGATATTTTATGTTATATCCTTTTTGTTTTCCTTTTGGTGTTCACTAATTCTTTCTTCTATCTTTATCTTTGTTGCTTAGTCCGTCATTTCTGATCTAATAGATGTTCAACAACAGAACTAGAGAGGCTAACCATCTTGCTCTCTGAGAGTGATGCCTAATGGATGAATTGTTCATAGCCTCGAAAGAGTCCTTTATTCTTCTTCAGTTACAGTGCGTTGTTAGGTGAGCTTTCTTGTTGAAACCTCTGTTTGACTTTCCATTAACAGAAGATTTGGAAAATATTGGAAGCTGCTTATGTTGAGAGTGGCTGAATTAATTAAAGTGGTTAAAGTTAGTTAGAGTTGGTAGTTAGCATTGACAGTTGTACATGATTAGTTAGTTCATGATTAGTTAGTTAAATTTCTGTATAAATAGGAGCAGGTTCACACAATTGTAAACAGATTTTTCAATACAGAGAAGATATTTTCTCTCCTTTCCATTTCATCGTTTCTTTTCTTCTCCCTCAAGTCTTCAATGGCAGCTCATTTTGTTCATCAATGGAGGTCTAAGCTTTAGTTTTTGACATGGTATCAAAGCTAGGTTCCTCTAAGCATTCAATCTTTTCTTCTCCGAATTTACTTCCGCAAAAATTTTCCCCAAATTTTATAGTTCTGTTTTTCTCTGCGTTTTTCTACTTGCATTTCACTCACTAGTTCAATTCTATTGAACTTCATCGAAATTCTCTTTTTCGATCTGTTGTTAATTGATTCCTATCAATAATACTATGGCACAAGAGAAGGAAAGTATTGATTCGACTAACCCACTGTATATGCACCCCTCTGAGAGTGTTGGCTCTGGAATCACTCCTGGTACTTTAAATGGAAGTGGATATAGATCATGGCGGCGTGGTATGTTGCGGGCTTTGTCAGTGAAGAACAAGATGGGCTTTGTTAACGGCAAATGCAAAAAAGCCAGCACAAGATGATCCTCTTCTTAATCAATGGGAGCGATGTGACTACATGGTCACTTCCTGGATACTACACTCTCTCTCAAGAGACATTGTTGATAGCTTGCAATATGTCAATAATGTTGCTGAACTCTGGCAGGATTCAGAGGACATGTATGATCAAACAAATGGGGCTAAATTGTATCAAATTCAAAAGGTGGTTAGTGACCTAAGTCAAGGATCCATGGATATAACTACTTACTCTACTAAAATGAAGCGATTATGGGAAGAACTAGGCACTTTAGATAACAACAATCAATGCAATTGTGTATGCATTTGTGGTGCCAAAACTGCTATGCACAAAGCTGAACAGGACAGGAGACTTATTCAATTTTTGATGAGGCTAAATGAGGTATACACAGTAGTGCGGGGAAGCATACTGATGATGAATCCTCTCCCTACTATTGCCCAAGGTTTTTCAATTTTAATTTAGGATGAGAAGCAACGAGAAGTTAAACCACGCAACTACTTAACCACAGACAGTACAGCTCTAAGTGCATACGGAAACAATCAGTTCAGGATAAATTACAGTCAAAACACTGCAGGGAACAACAATTTCATAGAGGGAGTTCTTCAGGCATTCGAATGTTTTATGATTACTGCAAGAGGCCTGGACATATTAAGGATAAATGCTACAGACTCCATGGTTTTCCACCAAATTTTAAGTTTACAAAAGGAAAGAATACAACATTTGTTGCAGCTGTACTTGGAGAATCCAATGAAGCATTGGACAATCATCTTGATGAACCTTGTACCTTGAGAACTTATGGCAATTTAACCTTGACTAAGGAACAACAAACTCAGTTGTTGCACTTGCTTGGAAGTTTCCAAAGTGGATCACCATGTACTAGCTCAGACAATATCACCAGTGGAGCTGCAAACTTTGTAGCTATTCTTGCTTGCTCTACTCATAGTGAAGTCATAGATAATCTTTCAGATAAATGTTCTCATTCACCAACTGACTTTTGAATATTAGACTTCGGAGCATCTAAGCATATGTCATATAACAGAAAAATGTTTACCAACATTAAGACCTTATCTTATCCTTTCTTAGTTTCTTTACCAAATGGATATAGAGTGAAAGTAACAGAAATAGGAGATGTTGTTCTCAGTCCAACTTTAACGTTGCATAAAGTGTTGTTTGCTCCCAGTTTCAAATTCAATCTCATCTCTATACATTCCCTTACTGTGCACCTACTCAAATCTGATGTTAATTTCTCTGCCTCTTCATGTGTCTTGCAGGCCCCTTCACTGAAGAGGCCTCTGGAAATTGGTAAAGCAAGGAATGGATTGTACTTTCTTTGCGCAAAATGTCAATCTTCTGCATCTCATTGTTCATCTTTTACCTCTCTTACTGCTACTTCTTCGCCTTCTATAAATAGTTGCAATCCCAATTATGTGTGTGATATTTCTGAACCTAATGCACTGTGTGATATTTCTGTTTCACAGGCTCATTCCCCATCCCCTATTCCTTCTGTAAATACTTGCTCTTCACATAATAAAGAGGCTTGTTCATTTCATGATTCTTCACTTATTAATTGTTCATCTTCCAGTAAGAGTGGATTCTTTGTGGCATAATAGGCTAGGACATGTTCCTTTTATAAAGATGAAGGGGATATCATCTATCCCAGTTCAATTTGCCAATAAGCAGCCTTACTTGTGTCAGTATTGTCTCATGGCAAGACAGACCAGGTCCTCCTTTCCACAAAAATCTCAAACATCCACCAACAGACCCTTTGACATCTTACATATAGACATTTGGGGACCATACCATGAAAGTACATACAACAACTACAAGTATTTTTATAACCATGGTAGATGACTATACCAGGTCCACTTGGACACACTTGATGAGCTTCAAAGCTAACACCTTACAAATCCTAAAGGCTTTTGTTTGTATGGTAGAAAATCAGTTTCAAACTTCCATCAAGACCATAAGATCTGATAATGGCCTAGAATTTACCAGCAATGAAGCCAAAACCTTTTATCAATCCAAAGGAATTATACATCAAAGGTCATGTCCATATACACCACAATAAAATGGTGTGGTAGAAAGAAAACATAAATACATTTTAGAAACAGCGAGAGCACTTTTATTTCAGTCCAAACTTCCCATAAGATATTGGGGGAATGGCTCCTTACAGCCACATACCTGATCAATAGGTTACCTTCTGTCTCTTTCAAGGGCAAATGTCCATATGAACTCCTCCACCAAAAGAAACCAAACTATTCTCACCTTAGAAGTTTTGGGTGTTTGTGTTATCCTACCATCCTCAAGACTCACAAAGATAAGTTTGAGCCTAGAACACAACCTCACATATTCATAGGGTACCCCTTTGGAACAAAAGGGTACAAAGTCCTTGACTTAGCCACTAAGAAGATACATGTCTCTAGAGATGTTCAGTTTTATGAAGATGTCTTTCCCTTTATGTCATTACCAACTCATTCTTCTTTTCCTGCTGTACTAACACATGTTAATTCTGAGTCCTCTTTTATGTTTTCTGAAAATGACACTATCAATACAAGGCAAACACAGACTGAGAACACATCACCTTTTAATGTTGCAGAACCTACAAATGATACAACTAACACCTCACCCGATACTAATATACAACCAAGCCATATGTGCAGCTCTGATGTAGCCATACCAGCACCTAGGAGATCTTCTAGGATCCATGTTACACCCATCACTTGAAAGAATTTGTTTACTCCCTCCCTTCATTAAAAGAACAAAACCAAGAACCATTTGCCTCATTGAATGCAACTTTAACCAATACCAAACAATTTTCCCTCACTTCTTTGGATCTAAACAGTCAGCAGGTCATGCAGAATATTTCTAATGTTAGAGAACCTGATTCATATGAGGAGGCAACTATGAATCATGTTTGGCAAGCAGCCATGACACAGGAATTTGAGGCTTTACATACTAATCATACTTGGGATTTAGTTCATTTACCTGCAGGAAAGAAAGAAATAGGATGTCGATGGATCTATAAGATCGAACACAAAGCTGATGGGTCCATAGAAAGGTTCAAGGCAAGATTGGTGGTGAAAAGATATACTCAACAAGCAGGAGTTGATTACACTGAGACATTCTCACCAGTGGTTATAATGACCACTGTTAGGACACTGATCAGTGTGGCTGTCAAAAGGGGATGGAAGCTTTACCAATTAGATGTGAACAATGCATTCTTGCATGGATATTTGAATGAGGAAGTCTACATGGATGCTCCTCAAGGGCTGGATACAAACTCTTCACATTTGGTGTGTAAACTCAGAAAATATTTATATGGCTTGAAGCAAGCAAGTAGACAATGGTATGATAAACTTACACAAGCACTAGAGTCAAGAGGATTTGCACACTCAGTTGAGGACTATTCACTCTTCTACAAAAAGTCGGATGGCTCTTCAATTTTCCTAGCAGTATATGTAGATGACATAGTGGTCACAGGAACAGATTTGAATGAGATCAACAACTTAAAATAATTTTTACATGATGTTTTCAAGATTAAGGATCTAGGACAACTACACCATTTCCTTGGTTTTGAATTGTTGTACAGGAAAGATGGTGTTATAATCTCTCAAAGGAAGTTCACCACAGAGTTGCTGAAGGAGTTTGATTGCCTGTCATATGGACCAGTAGTTGCTCCTTTGGAATGCAACCTGAAGTTGTTAGCAGATGAAGGACTTCTTCTCAATGACCCTACTTACTATCGAAAGTTGGTGGGGAAACTCAACTTCCTCACAAACACCAAATTGGATATATCATATAGTGTTCAACATTTAAGCCAATATATGCAAGCTCCTAGAGAACCTCATCTCAAGGCTGCAATACATGTGCTGAGGTATTTAAAAAATGATCCTACTTTGGGAATTTTCATGTCCAAATATCCTACATTTGTTCTTAAAGCATACTGTGACTCAGATTGGGCTTCCTGTCCCGACTCAAGAAGATCAGTTAGTGGTTATATTGTCATGCTTGGTGATAGTCCAATTAGTTGGAAATCAAAGAAACAAGCTACAGTGTCTCTTTCATCTGCTGAAGCTGAATACAGGTCCATTCGAATAGTGATTGGGGAAGTGATTTGGCTAAGAAGAATCTTGACAGAACTTGATGTTCCCTGCAATCATCCCACTCATGTGTACTGTGACAGTCAAGCAGCAGTTCATATAGCTAGAAATCTTGTTTTTCATAAACGTACTAAACACATAGAGGTGGACTGCCATTTTGTGAGAAATAGCTTACAAGATGGAATAATCAATCTTCATCATGTGTCAACTCATGAACAATTGGCCGATATGTTCACTAAATCCTTAACAGGGATCAAACATATTGCATTATTGGACAAGTTGGCAGTGGATTCTTCCCCTCCAACTTGACGGGGGGGGGGGGGGGGGTGTTGAGAATGGCTGAATTAATTAAAGTGGTTAAAGTTAGTTAGAGTTGGTAGTTAGCATTGACAGTTGTACATGATTAGTTAGTTCATGATTAGTTAGTTAAATTTATGTATAAATAGGAACATGTCCACACAATTGTAAATAGATTTTTCAATACAGAGAAGATATTTTCTCTCATTTCCATTTCATCGTTTCTTTTCTTCTCCCTCAAGTCTTCAATGGCAGCTCATTTTGTTCATCAATGGAGGTCTAAGCTTTAGTTTTTAACAGCTTACCTTCGACTTTGCTCAGGTTAATGCTTTTTCTCTTCCTTGTTTTATTTTGAATCTTTTTTGGGTTGTCTTTTCTCACAATCAGATTAACTATTTTTATTGCTTCTCTTTGAAATCCATACAAGAAAATGCTAATAGCCTTAATGCCTCAATAAGACGAAGCTAATTTGTTGATTTTAGTTAAAGTGCAAATACATAAACAATATTCAATTGTCATTTGATTTTTATTTATTTGTTATTGTGTATCTATATGACGGTTGTTGTTCTTATTTCCAATCTATTTTCCTTAGCTTACTTGGAGTAAAATTCTTCAGTAGAGATTGTGTATCTCCAATTTTAATAAAGGGGGATATTTATTTTTATTCTCATCAAATTAGATGCTTAATTACCCTCATAAATAAATTGAACATAATTCTGCTCACTATAACAATAACAATACACATATATAGGTGGAATTTGCAGAGGGTAAAATGTACCAAACCTTACCCAAAGTTACGTCCTACAAAACATATGAATTTAAATAGGAATGCAGATAGAGTGTGAACACGGAATAAAGTAATTGTCTGAGATAACTTCACTCGTTTTACCTGTAAAAATTTGTCAAGTATAAAGTTCTTCTTCCACTTTCTGAAATTAGAATATCATAAATAAATATTTGTTCATAGCTTAGTGTAGTTGCTCTCCGTTGCATTTATTTTGCATGATGAAAAATTTTCAGCTCATTCTTAAAGTATCCTGATTGTGCAATTTACAAATATTGTAACAAGTGATTGTCTCGGTGACTCTTCCAGATTGTTGCAACATTGAGCTGTTGAACTGATTGGAGTTCTAACGCTTTTATATACCAACTTTCTGTAGCAATGAATCCTGAACAAACAAGAACATCCCGCATAATGAAACAGGCTTATGAAAAGAATACCAAACGATGTAAAATATATTGTGATATGTCGTTAGCTGAAAGTGCCATTATATTATGTTTATCTTTCTACCGAGTATCGAGTAGCTAGCACTTTTCGACCATTTCCTCTACTTCTACAATTAACACTAGGAAGATTTCTCCTCACACAAGGTATATTTTTTGCTCAATTATAACTTATTTAGGAATAACACATAGTTATTATTGTAATCTCGCCTTCATTTATTTGTACAGAGATTGTGAGGAAATCATGAATTTAAGTTTACTGAACCTCACCACTTTTTCAAGTAAAGAATTGGAACCTACTCTAATTGAAATATCATCCCGCGGTTCTGGTGCACATGGAAAACCGAGTTTTGTTTATGGATGAAGTTGTTCTTATGTTCCTTTAAAAGTTCCTGCAACCTTTTCTACTATGTCTTCTTCCTCTTTTGGACTTACTATATCTTTGTCTATTCTGCTAAGTGCTTCGTCTGCTTTAATGGTTATTATAGAAGCATTTTGTATTACGCCTATTATCAAAAAACTAATTTTGGTCTTTTACTATTTTTTTGGAAATAAGTAACTTACTTAGGACTTCCACTTATCATTCAGAATTTGTTGTCGTTAAACTTTTCTTAGAGCTGAAGGATCTCGTGTTCTCAATTAATTGTGCTTTGTAAAGGTATGCTCTCAGGTGGTAATATAATTATATTGGGTAGCTACTAGGATTCGGTTCCTACATAGGTATTAAATGATTATTATGAAAGCATTTTCTCCATGTTTGTTCTACTTATATTTATATTTCTCTTCTTTTAAAATAAGTGTGAGCTTGTGGAAATTTCCAGACAAGTTGGATGAAAGATACATCTTTTAGAGCTTGTGAAAAAAAAAATTGGAGGTTCGGAAGTGTCTTACTTATACGTCCGCAACCAGGTTGAATGAAAGATGGATCTCTTAGAGCTTGAGGAAAAATATCATCATCTCTAGAGGTTTGAAAAGTTGGAATTTGTTTGTTAGAATTATTACAAACTAACGTCTTCATTTGAAGGACATTTCATAATCGTTTGAATATTTCTGTAAACTTTGTTCCTCAATCCAAGTATTATGAAGTGTTAATATGTTGTAAACATCATACTTATGCTTTCTCTTTTAGTATTTTCATATTGAATTTCTTTTTATCAATCTTGTGAAGTACTCATAATACAAAGAATAATAACAGTTATAGGCCCGTGCCTTGCACGGGCACCACGTATCTAGTATTACTCTATATATAGTATATATATTTTATATATATATATATATATATATTTGCACGGGCACCACTTATCTAGTATTACTCTATATATAGTATATATATATATATATATATATAATTTGGTAATTTACAAAAAAATTGGGCCAATTGAACTTCATTTTCTAGGCTTTTTCAGTGATGGACACGTGGAGATTTTGAAAAAAACTTCCTCATACATTGTATTCCAATTATAAATAATAAAAAAGATTACATTAGGAATTTTACATGTAAAACATTTTTGTGCGCCAACTAAATTGAACTCAGGCATCACTTTTAAAGTGCATCTTTATTTTTTTTCTTTTCACTCAATAGTTACTTAAAAAAGTTATTATAAATTACAATAATTAATAATTTAAAATTTTAATTTAGTTAACTGTTGCGTTCAAATCGCACGCGCAAGTGCACATGGTTGTTCAAATATTAAAGTGGCTCTTTTTAAGAGACGGGTATCGTACCCACAGGGACTTACGCTTAGAATTACTTAACTTCTCTAACTTTCAGCTAAACACAAGGGTATTCCAGATTTCCAAAGTGATTTAGTTTCTACTTCTAAGATTATAACAAATGTAACAAAAGCGATTCAATTTCAAGGGTTTAAAAACAATGATTGGGTAAAGTCCAGGGCTGCAACTTTTATCAGGAATCATGCAATCAATATCAATGATATGGGTAATTATCAACTATCGAATCAATGAATCACAGGGTTAAATGTATGATCATGGTTTCCCGACCTCTAATCGCCTACGATAAATAACACCCTAACTACATCGTTGAGCGGGATAGGATGGATTAAGTACCGAGCATTACGATTTCTTCATGTATGGTGACCCAAGCATGGTTTCTAGGTATCTCCCTATCCTAAATACAAATTAACCCTAGTTATTTAGAATTAATCATGCTCATTATGTCCCACGTTCTATCCTCTTATTCCTCTCTCGAGTTCAATTTGGACAATGTATTTATTTCAATGGTTGTCACGAAATACGGAAAGAAAGAACATAAGAAAGATTCATAGATTCATATGAAAATTGACATTAACCCAATAACAAAATCAATAGATTACAATCATCATGTAGCCACAGCCCTAGAACTAGGGTATTTAGCTACTCATAATCCAAGAATCGATCAAACAATGTTCAAATAATATACAAAGATCGAAAGGAAAAGAGTTTCGGAAAGAACCCTAAAAATGGTGAAAACGTTCTCCCAAGTCGTCGTTCTTCAAAACCCAGAAAAAGAATAATTAATAAAAATAAAATAATGACCTATTTATACTAAAAGTCGAAACGGCCAAAAACTGGAGCAAAGGGAGCGACGTGGAGAGGTTTTAAATATTTGATTCCAGGCACAATAGCCTTCTCCGCGACGCGGACACTCCACGGAGTGCTCTGCCTCTAACTCAACTTTTGCGAATAAAATAACAACCCTTCCCGCGACGCGGAGAGTACACGGAGGGCTCTGCCTACTGTTGACTCTCGTGAGTTAATTTAAGACCCCCTCTCCGCGACGCGGAAAGGATACGACAGTGCCTTGATCTTCTTTTCTTCCTCTTTCTTCCATGCTTCTTTTTTGCCTTTAATCTTCTGTGTTCCCCATTGTCTATTTTCGTGCTCGTTTCTCCTCTTAAGCTTACCTACACAACTAATCATGTTGGTTAGCTCATAAACAGACAAAAGATTCTATAAAACTATAAACGAACACATATTGAATTCAAACTAAGCTTAAATGCGGACATAATTAGCTTTCTAGGCATATAAATATGCCTAAGATCACTACCCCACACTTAAAGCTTTGTTCGTCCTCGAACAACTTACTAACTACTCTTAGACCTAGACTCACTACTATGGTATTTGTGCATCCGCTACTATCTTCCAAAGATTTGTACCCAGTTAACACAAGCATGTTTTTATTCAGAATATGCATGACTTCTGTAATTGACTTGACAACTTTTAGCAACCAACGCATTCAACAACATGTGCACCACTACATATCACCTATCCTTCATACAACAAATGCCCGTCACTCCAAAGAATAGTCCACACACTCAACTCAACAAATTGAATATCCTTTAAGAACTATGCAAATAAGGTACACTCTCACTCAACAACAACATCAAACATGTATGCACTGAGAACCATAAGCTTGCCTGTTATGTACATCTCTACTAATAAAGTGTGTTATGCTCAAAATCAAACAGGACTTGTTCTGGTTGTAATGTAGGCTTAAGGTAAGGGAGGATTCGTTTAGATAAAATTAGTGACTTATCCTCCCTAATGCACTGTTTTCAACTTTCCTCTTACATTCACAACTTTTTCTTTTCGTTAGCCCCCTCCTTTTTCATAGGTTTCCACTAGTGTTACCAACTTTGCCTTTATTTCTTATTTGCCCCTTTATTTTTTTTTATTTTTTTTTACACTCAATAATAGCCACCCTTGCCTTAGATATTTCTCTTGCGTTAAGGTGCACAATGCCCATGTAAGGGTCAGGGCCATCATTAAGGTAAGCACTAAGTTAGCCACCTTCAACTTAGGTTTTTAACCTTAGTCAAAGTGCACAATGTCCCAAGGACCAGGGGATTTATTCTCATGGCTCAGATGTTCAGCTTCGTGCCAGTCATCAAGGCATATACCAAGCACACCCTATCACGAGTAATGTCGGTGTAGTGTAACCCCAGTATCAAACAGTTCATCACAACTTTCAACCAAACGCGCGTCTCCCGAAGCATGTGAGCGTAGGGAAGAGATTGGTGATACCTCTTCCCACTATGCTTCGTCCATTGAGCCATGGACTGTGGCCTGCACAAAGTGTGTCGGATGGCCTGGTATGGGGGGGCGTATGACCAGCCATGTCAGCACCAGTGGGTCTGTGTCTTGCGGAGTACCCAATATATCATTTATACTTGTGGGTGTGATGGGCACATTTCTTCCTCTCACCGTCATATAATGGGATCTGGCTTCAGGCGCCCAGTTGGCATAAAACTCCCAGACCATGTGCAAGTTGCACTCCTCCGGTTCAGCAAAGATGAATTCCATACCTAGCTCCCTAATTCGCCTCAGGATCTGTGGGAACTCACGTGCCAGACTGTCCCTATCGATACACACATCTGAGAAATAAAAGGCCTCAGTATGTTTCTTATACCAAGCCATCCCTTCTTTTGTTATAGCCTTAGCTCAAAATCGCCTAGTTTGGCCTTTTGGGACCGCAGGTACTAGTGGAACATTCCACTTCGGGAACGTTTCTTCTGGCTTGACGTGGCTACTTCTTTGCCAGATCTTCTTGAACTTGACATAATGACATGCAAACATATCGACAAAGGTCAGGCCCAATGACTACAAAATAATGAGAAAAATGTGGGTGGTGTGCGCGCACCACCCCACACTTAGTTCAATGCAGTCTCATCTTAGGTACTCAGACTTCCCAAAAATGACCAACAACATACTCAAGTAATTACCAAGTTCATCAAACAGGATAGGCATCACAATATCATTTACAACCACGCAACGATTAAGGAGTGTTACTCAAGACTTCACACAATCAAGATAGACCCCTGAATACATATTATCACCCAGCCAACATCGCCTAGCAACAGTAATCCTTCACGCATTGTTCGCCAAAATAGTATTTACTCAAGAATTTGACACTATAGGTATCCAATTTGCAAGGAGAGCATCTTTAAGCACATATTAGACCTTCACTAGTCGAGGCAGTCAAACCCCCATACTGCCTCTAAATTCAAGCAAACTAACTCAATTCACTTCAAACTCTACATCAATCATTACCCATTCAGACAACAATCTGTCACGAGCATGCATAACCCACACATCTTTACCCCATGCTAGAACAACAACAATGAACATTAAGTGATTTTTACTCAAGAATTCAAAATCACTTATAACCACAATATCGCCAAATGCATAAACATACGATTAACCAAGGCACATTACACTCAAGGAATCGAGCATACCCAGAAACAAATTGACAAACATTCCCACATACTATACCCTATCAATTCAACCCAAGAATCATGCAACAATGTATTTTTACTCAGACTTCGAAACACACATAGACCAACACAAAACACACCATATTAACAACAGAAAACACACTTCCCAAATCCCCTAAAGTCGAGCAACCAAAAACCCATGGCAAGACATCTTCAACCTTTCCCAGAATCATAAGAACAAAACAAGAGCATATACCTGGTGACGCGGAGTTGCAGAGAAATGGAGAAGAACATGGACGATGTAGCTGCGCGACACGGAACTATTTGAAGAAATCACAGGGGTAAAGGGAAGGGAGAAAATCGTGGTGAATATAGTGAAAAGGGGAAAGGATATGCGAATTAGGGGGAGAAATCGGGGTTAAAAGGGTTGGGGTCAGGTAATTTCCAAAGAAAATGGGTAAAACCCAGTTATTTAATGAAAAAGGAAAATTACTCACCTAGGGCATAACGTGGGGTGGGCACAGAGTCCACTGGAAATTTAATTCCAGGCGAGGCCAATATTTGTCCCTTGCTCCGCGTCGCGGGCTAGCCCGGTCGTGCCTTCTTTTTGACGTAAAAGTAACTTATTGTCGAAATCAAAATTCTAGGCCCCCTCCGCGACGCGCCCTGTACACGAAGTCCTCTACCTCAAAATGGTATCAGGAGAGGCAAAATTTTCCCCGCCTCCACGACGCGCTCCTTACACGGAGTTGCCTTGGGTGAAATTTCTTCATCCTGCATATTATCAGCTCATCACCCATTAGAAAAACATGATGGGTTGCCTCCCGTCCAGCGCCTTAGTTTTGGTCGTGGCACGACGCATATTTTTGTATTTTTCTAAATATATATTTTTTCTAATTCCTAAGAACTAAAATAACAAAACATAATCAAATAAAGCCTAACTATTAAAAATGGTCACGGGTTGCCTCCCGTGTAGCACCTGATTTAACGTCGCGGTACGACCTATCTCATGACTCATTCGTCATTCAATGTGAGCGTTTCAAGCTCACGATCCACATCATTCCCAAAATAGTGCTTGACCCTTTAACCATTCACAAGGAAAGTACAACTTTTATCCTTGTTTCTTAACTCTACAGTACCATATCGGGTCATCCTCACCACTTCAAAAGGATCACTCCACTTAGATCGAAGCTTTACGGGGAACAACTTTAACCTTGAATTGAATAGTAGTACTAGTTGACCGGGCTAAAAGGTGTGCGACACAATATGCTTTTCATACCACCTCTTGGTCTTCTCTTTATACAGCTTAGCATTTTCATAGGCGTTGAGCCTAAATTCTTCCAACTCATGCAGCTATGTTATTCTCTTCCTACCAGCTAACTCAGCATCCAGATTTAGCTTCTTGATTGCCCTATATACTTTATGCTCCAATCCAGCTGGTAGGTGACAAGTTTTCCCAAACACCATTCGATAAGGAGAAGTCTCTATTGGTGTCTTGTATGCAGTCTAGTACGCCCACAAGGCATCATCTAGCTTGCCAGCCCAATCTTTTCTTTGGGCATTCACAGTCTTTTGGAGGATCTGTTTGACCTCCCTATTCGACACTTCCACATGCCCACTAGTTTGGGGATGATATGATGTAGCCACTTTGTGTCTCACTCCATATTTGGCTAACAAATTATGCACTGAATTATTAATAAAGTGCGTACCTCCATCATTGATCATAGCCTTTGGAGTTTCGAACCTGATGAAGATGTGTTTTCGGATGAACTTCACAACCATTTTTGCATCAGTGGATGGTAGTGCAACTGCCTCCACCCACTTAGACATGTAGTCTACTGCGACTAAGATGTATTGATTACCACGGGACAATGGGAATGGTCCTATAAAGTCTATCCTCCAAGCATAAAAGATCTCAACCTCCAGTATATTGCTAAATGACATCTCATACCTCCCTGAAATGGTGCCCATCCTCTAACATTGATCACAACCTTTCACAAACAAAGCAGTATCTTTAAACAGAGTAGGCCAAAAGAAACCAGATTGCAATGCCTTATGCGTAGTTCATTCGCCTCCGTAGTGTCCACCATATGGTGAAGAGTGACAACTCTCCAATACTTGTGTCGCCTCCTGCTCAACTATACACCTTCTCATCATCTGATCAGGTCCCTTCTTAAATAAGAATGGCTCATCCCATATATAGAAGTGTGCATCATACTTCAGCCTCTGCTTCTGATGTGTTGAGGGCTTGAGGCCCCAGGTGGAAATAAACCACTTACCAGAAAATTCACAATATCAGCATACCAAGGCACTTGAGCAGTGTCCAAAGCAAGCAATTGCTCATCAGGAAACTCTTCACGAATTTGCCCCTCATTCTTCACATGAGTTGAATCCTCCAGTCTGGACAGATGATCAGCTATCCGGTTCTCAGTTTCTTTCGTGTCCCTTATCTCAAGATCAAACTCTTATAGTAGCAGAATCCACCTAATCAGCCTCGGCTTGGCATCCTTCTTGTTAAAAAAATCGGATTGCATCATGATTAGTGTAGATTATAACTTTGGTTCCCACCAAGTATGATCTAAAGTTATCAAATGCGAAGACTAATGCCAACATCTCTTTTTCAGTCACAGTGTAATTCGATTGAGCTGCATCAAGTGTCTTGCTCGCATAGTAGATGGAATGGAACATCTTCTCTTTTCTCTGCCCACGTACTGCCTCAACTGCTATGTCACTGGCATCACACATAAGCTCAAATGGAAGCTCCCAATTTGGAGCAATCAGAATATGAGCTTCAATCAACTGTTCAAATTCCTGCAAACACTTTTCATCAAACATAAACTTCATCTCTTTCTCTAACCGGCTGCACATAGGTCTTGCAGTCTTAGAGAAGTCCTTGATGAACCTCTTGTAGAAACCAGCATGTCCCAGGAAGCTTCTAACTCCCTTTACTGTGATGGGAGGTGGCAGCTTCTCAATAACTTCCACTTTAGCCTTGTCAACTTCCAGCCCACTTTTGGAGATTTCGTGCCCCCAACACAATGCCTTCTCGAACTAGGAAGTGACACTTCTCCTAGTTTAGCACCAGATTTATTTCTTCACACCTGGCAAGAACTCTGTCAAAATTAGTCAAGCAAAGTTCAAAAGACTCACCAATCACCGAGAAATCATCCATCAACACTTCAACAAAATCCTCCACCATATCATGGAAGATTACTATCATACATCTCTGAAATGTGGCTGGGGCATTGCACAAGCCGAATGGCATGCGCTTGAACACATACGTGTCATATGGGCAAGTGAATGTAGCCTTCTCCTGATCTTCTGGTGCAATGATAATCTGATTATACCCTGAATAACCATCAAGAAAACAGTAGTATTCCTGACCTACCAGCCTATCCAACATTTGATCAATGAAAGGTACCGAATAATGGTCCTTTCTGGTGGCATAGTTCAACTTTCTGTAGTCCATGCAAATCCGTCACCCAGTCACTGTTATTGTAGGGATCAACTCATTCTTCTCATTTGTTACCACCGTCATTCCCCCCTTCTTGGGCACACATTATACTTGACTTACCCATTTGCCGTATGATATTGGGTACACAATCCCTGCATCCAGCCATTTAATTACCTCTTTTCTCACCATATCCTTCATCAATGGGTTTAGTCTCCACTGATGATGTGCACTCGAATTATGCCTTTCCACCATGTATATTTTATACATGCACAGCGCGGGACTAATATCATGGATGTCAGACATTTGCCACCCCAAAGATGCTTTCCTCTTTTTTAGGATGATTAATCCTGCTTCCACTTGTCCATCAGATAATGTTAGAGATAAAATAACCGGTAAAGTTTTATCTTCACCCAAAAATGCATACCTGAGGTAGGCTGGCAATGCTTTTAACTCAAGCCTGGGTGCTTCTTCAATGTAAGGCTTGGGTGGAGGACTTAACACCCTATTTAGAAGATCTAATCGATCCCCGGGTGTACCTACAAGTGCCATATCAAGAAATTGCATAATTTCCTGTGTCGCAGCATCCCCATAAATATCATCCCCCACTAACACTCACTCTAGAGGGTCCTTATATGCAATGTAGCGAGTTCTGCCTCAAGATCTATCACAGTTATGGCAGACAACTCCTCATACATAACTGGCAGCTTTAATATTTTATACACGTCGAACACCTCCACTTTATCATGTGCTCGCATAGTAAGTTGTCCAGCTGCTACATCTATCATATCCCGCCTAGTCGCTAAGAAAGGTCTTCCTAAGATGAATGGGACCTCAGGATCAGGCTCTAAATTTAGCATAATAAAATCTACTGGGAAAATCAATGATCCAACTTGCACTAACACATCCTCTACAACACCCTCGTCTTAGCTACAGATCTATCAGCCAACTGTAAGGTAATGGTAGTAGGTTTAGGACTACCCAACCCCAGCTTTTTGTACAAAAAAGTCGGCATCAAATTTATACTAGCTCCTAGATCACATAACCCTCGCGTATGAATGCTCTGCCCTATAGTGATCTGAACCGTAAAGCTACCCGGATCTTTCAGTTTAATGGGCAACTTATTTTGGATTCTGGAGCTGCACCTTCAGTAAGTGCAACAGTCTCATACTCTGTCAGCCTCCTTTTATTTGCCATAATCTCCTTCACATATTTCACATACCTGGGTATACCCTGCAAAACATCTATCAATGGCAAGTTAATGTGAACTTGTTTCAAAAGAAAGAGAAACTTACCAAAACATTTATCCTCCTTCTGTTTCTTGAACTTCTGAGGAAATGGAGGAGGTGGTTTCACAATTGGTTGCACTTTTTCTTCATGTGCAACAATTTCACCCTACTTGGGTTCACTCTCTTTACTCACAACATCAATGTTTCTTTTCTTAGGAGATTACTCCTCTAATTTTAAACCACTGTGTGTACCTACCGTGTTTACCTGCTTAGGATTGGGATCAGTATTTCTTGGCGGTCGTGAGTTTTGGGCACTAGAAAACTGCCCGAATTGCTTCTCCAGATTTTGTGTAGCCAACTGGTTATTCCTTACATCAGCAGCTAACTGGGCTTGATCAACCATGATCTTTTTCAGCATCTCCTTCGTGCTCATGTTGCCAGATTGCTTGTTTGGCTGCTCTCGTTGGGGCTTTGGTTGGTACCCCTGTGTATTTCCTTGGGATCTATATTGATTCTGGCCTTGACCCTGATTTTGATTTTCACCTTAAGAAAAGTTCGAGTGGTTGCGCCAAGTTGGGTTATATGAGTTCCCATAATTTTGTTGGCCTCCTCCTCATTGGGCATTACTTACAAAATTCACAGAGTCCGGGTTTGCACCACATACCTCTGCACTATGATCACCACCTCCGCAGATCTCACACCAAGATAGTGGTTGTTGAACTACATTTACATGTGCAGGTTGTTGTCCCAATGCTAGATTGCTGAAGTGCGTGTTCATCATATTCTGCATAGCAGCAATCTGTGCAGTCAAGGCAGTCACAATATCTACCTCTAACATACCCGCAGTTTTCTGAATCACAGGTTTCATTCCTCCTCCATTCCATTCAGAGTTTCCCTGAGAGATCCTATTCAGCAATGTGAATAGTTCAGCATATGTCCTCTCCAAAGCGTGACCACCTGCATCTGAATCAAGTAAAATCTTGGTGTTAGGCTCCAATCCTTCAAAAAAGGTATGGACCAACACCTCATTAGATTGATGATGATGAGGGCAGCTCATCAACATCGATTTAAACCTGTCCCAAGCTTGGTACAAGTTTTCTCCTACTTTCTGCCTAAAGCTCAAAATGTCACTCCTAAACTTAGCTGTTTTTCCAGATGGAAAAAATTGGATGAGGAACTTCTGTGCTAGATCATTCCAAGTGGTAATTGAGTTTGTGAGCTCTGAGTTTAACCATCTTTTTGCTTCCCCAAGCAGAGAAAAAGGGAATAGAGTAAGCCTCACATAATCCACATTCACTCCAGCTGGAGTGTACGTATCACTGATCTCGAGGAAATTCAGAATATGAACTGTTGGATCCTCGTGCGGCAGACCAATGAACTTCCTATTAGTGTGCAGTAGTTGCACCATACTCTGCTTCAATTCAAACCTCCCACCAGCTTCAGGTTTCTGAATACAAGATGTCACATTAGTGGGACGTAGGATTGCCACGTCTCTTACTCTCAACTCAGTCAATATCTCAGGTTCTTCCTCGTCAACTCTTGCTGGTGGAGATGTTAGTTTACTAGCAACAAGAGGTACCAGATAAGTAAGTCGTCTTAGACTTCTCTGGTAATGTACAAATCTTTTTGGTTCCGCTAGAGGCGATACTAATCCTTGATCGTTGTCCAGTTAGAAACTCCAATACAACCTGCAACAATGAAATGCTAAGATCAAGTCGTCAACAATTGCTTTTTACTTCAAAATTCAAAAAATCAGATAATTTCTAATTCTAAAGTCTCAGGCAGCGGCGCCAAAAGCTTATTGCATCCAAATAGCACACGCAAGTGTATGTGGTCGTTCAAGTATTAAAGTGGCTCTTTTTAAGAGCTGGGTATCGTACCCACAGGGACTTATGCTTAGAATTACTTAACTTCTCTAACTTTCAGCTAAACACAAGGGTATTCCAGATTTCCAAAGTGATTTAGTTTCTACTTCTAAGATTATAACAAAATGTAACAAAAGCGATTCAATTTCAAGGGTTTAAAAAGAGTGATTAGGTAAAGTCCAGGGTTGCAGTTTTTATGAGGAATCATGCAATCAATATCATTTATATGGGTAATTATCAACTATCGAATCAATAAATCACAGGGTTAAATGTATGATCATGGTCTCCCGACCTCTAATCGCCTACGATAAATAACACCCTAACTATATCGTTGAGCGGGGATAGGATAGATTAAGTACCGAGCATTACGATTTCTTCTTGTATGGTGAACCAAGCATGGTTTCTAGGTATATCCCTATCCTAGATACAAATTAACCCTAGTTATTTAGAATTAATCATGCTCTTTATGTCCAACGTTCTATCCTCTTATTCCTCTCCCAAGTTCAATTTGGACAATGTATTTATTTCAATGGTTGCCACGAAATACGAAAAGAAAGAACATAAGAAAGATTCATAGATTCATATGATAATTGACATTAACTCAATAACAAAATCAATAGATTACAATCATCATGTAGCCACAGCCCTAGAACTAGGGTATTTAGCTACTCAAAATCCAAGAATCGATCAAACAATGTTCAAATAACATACAAAGATCGAAAGGAAAAGAGTTTAGGAAAGAACCCTAAAATGGTGAAAACGTTCTCCCAAGTCGTTGTTCTTCAAAACCCAGAAAAAGAATAATTAATAAAATAAAATAATGACCTATTTATACTAAAAGTCAAAATGGTCAAAAACTGAAGCAAAGGGCGCGACGTGGAGAGGTTTTAAATATTTGATTCCAGGCACAATAACCTTCTCCGTGACGCGGACACTCCACGGAGTGCTCTACCTCTAACTCAACTTTCGCGAATAAAATAACAACCCTTCTCCGCGACGCGAAGAGTACACGGAGGGCTCTGCCTACTGTTGACTCTCGTGAGTTAATTGAAGACCCTCTCTCCGCGACGCGAAGAGGATACAGCAGTGCCTTGATTTTCTTTTCTTCCTCTTTCTTCCATGCTTCAGTTTTGCCTTTAAACTTTTGTGTTCCCCATTGTCCATTTCCGTGCTCGTTTCTCCTCTTAAGCTTACCTACATAACTAATCATGTTGGTTAGCTCATAAACATACAAAAGACTCAATAAAATTATAAATGAACACATATTGAATTCAAACTAAGCTTAAATGCGGGCATAATTAGCTTTTTAGGCATATAAATATGCCTAAGGTCATTAACTCTTGAAATTTTATCTATGCGACGGGATAAATGAATAACATATATTATTTGAAAATTACGTAATAGGTATTATGAATCACAATACCTAATTTTAAAAAATATATTAAAATTTGATTGACTCTCAAAATTTCACATATGCCACATACATTGACAGATAGAGAGTAACATATATTATTTAAATGGTTGACTCTCAAATTTTCACATTCGTCACATAAATTGACAGATAGAGAGTAACATATATTATATAATGAGGTAAGTGTTTTGAAAGAGCACTGTGACATAACACTTCATAAAACCTTGATAAAGGTTCAGGTACCTGAAAATGATGAAAAATGAAGAGATCTCGATAAGTTATGTCGTATTGGAATCGATATCAAAATAATTGTCGACAGTCTCTTTGATATGAAATAGCACTCAATGCTATAAATGGTTACGAGGATCTTAAATTCAAATCTGTCATATAGTGTGGACAGATAAATGATTGGCACTATTCAAGTATATTTTGTTTCGCTTAGAGAAGTTATGTTTTTGATCTTATAGTTCATGGATCAAAATATAATGTCATTGTGGTACAAATGAATCATTGTGCGAAAGTATAACCGAAAGATATAAAGTGCGGTTTGTGCCTCGGGGAATAAAGGGTTTTTGCAAAAATCCTGACATTATTAAATGGAGATATATTTTCCAGTGGTGGATGCAATGAAACTTGTTTTAGTCTGGCAATAGATGAAATACTTGAATATGTATAATGAATGATTATTATGTCTAACTAGACGATGAAGGTTATATGAAAATCCTTGAAGGATTTAAAAGGTCTTAAAGCAATTCCATTGAGTTCTCAATGGTTATGAACTGCTTAACACAAAGAACGAATCTTTTTGATCTCATGAAAATGATTTTAAATGCCATATATTAGTGCAATTGGTGCACTTACAGATCGCTGGTTATGCAAATGCTAGAAAATTATTTTATATACATAACGAAAGTTATGTGCAGGAATTGTCATATTATCATTCAAGTTATGACAAGAAACTAACAAAGTAAGTGATTCAACACATAGAAGATGTGTGATTTTCTTTTAGAAGAAAAGACAAGCTTCAATAAAATTGAAATAATCAAT